TATAGATAGAGATAAACTGTAAACAGCAATAATGTACAGCAAAGTAAGACCTACAAATAAGTCAACACGACTAAAATTGTCAATTGACCCCTTAAGGAGTTATTGCCCTTTATAGTCAATGTTTTACAATTTTCATAAATTTTGTAAATTTTTGTAAATTTTTACAAAATATTTTCCACTGTAACTACTGGGCCAAGTTCATTATAGATAGAGATAATTGTAAGCAGCAAGAATGTTCAGTAAAGTAAGATCTACAAACACATCACCATCACCAAAACACAATTTTGTCATGAATCCATCTGTGTCCTTTGTTTAATATGCACAAAGACCAAGGTGAGCGACACAGGCTCTTTAGAGCCTGTAGTTTTTTATTATTATTAAGAATGGGGATATAGAAGTGAAAATTTGTTTTTTAAAATCTCAAATTTTGAAAAATGTCTTCATATACTAGGACTTGAACAAAAAATGATATATAGCCAACACTAGCTATTTCAAAGTGATCAAAGGTGCCAAATTAAAAAGGAAAACTTCTTTAAACTTATTTTTGTTAAAAAATAATCGCAAATTTTGAGAAAAATCTTTTCATGCTAGGATTTCAACAAAATTTGATCTACAGTTATACTATGCTATTCCAAATTATTTCTTAGGTTTAGATATGGGGAAAAAAGTGTTTTTGAAATCCATGAAGGTGTGAATGATGCAATAGAATAGAAAATTAATCAACACCTATCTCAAAACTCCATTTTAATGCGATATTATCCAAATTTTGGGCATACACTTAACAGAATAATCTTCAGTTTGAGAGTTTTCATTCATACGATGTCTTGTTATGACATGACGTTATTACAAGATCATTCATGAAATTTCGTGGAATTTATTGTCCATTCGTCAGTCCATCCATCCGTCAGTCCGTCCTTCCGTCCCATGAATATTCTTAGTCGCATCTTTCTCAGGAACTACAATACAAGGATTTCTGAAATTTGGTTTCAGGGTTTATATAAGTCAGCTATACCGTGTGATGTGTTTTCAGATTCATCACTCAACAACTTCTTGTTTACTGAACACTTGTATCATTTTACACATGATAGCCAAGTTGAAAATTTCGTCACATTTTTTTCAGGAACTACAATACAAGGATTTCTGAAATTTGGTTTCAGGGTTTATATAAGTCAGCTATACCGTGTGATTGTTTCAGATTCATCACTCAACAACTTCCTGTTTACCGAAATATTTGGGCGGGAGTATCATCAGTGAGCAGTAGCTCACAGTTTCACTTGTTTTATTTTGATTTTATACATATTTTAAGATCTTATCCTTTAATTCTTTTGTTATGCTTTAGAATAGGAACAACGGTTCTGTAGTTTCTTATTTTTCAATTTCAATTTGCACATCGGTTATGATGAATATGGATTTACGTGGGAGGGAAATAGTAACAGCCATTTATATGTACATCTCTGAGTCTGCGCTAAGTATAGATATAACGAGAATTTAATCATGCTGTTGTTTACAAAACAAATGAAGCACGTCATATTAGAATGATCATCAATACATGATCTAAAAAAATATGGTCTTATGGACACATACCGGTATTCTTGTTGTGCTCCCTGAAGAAATATTAAGAGCATTAAATGATTGCTTTGTCAGTCCTTTTGTCTGGCCATCTGTTCATTTGTATCAAAATCAAAAGGTTTCTTATTGATAATGGAAGAAGACTTAATTTTGGGGTTTAAGGATCAAAAGTGGAAGATTAATGTAAAGGGAAGAAGACTTAATTTTGGGGTCTAAAGATCAAAAGTCAAGGTTGCTTGTACCAAAATTAATTTTTTTTTGTGTGGGGGGGGGGGGGGGGGGGGGGGGTGGAAGGAGCGGTGGGATTGTTTCCTGCATGGTTGAAATGAAACTATAACAGATGTAAGATATAGGGAAGGGAAAGACGCCTATTGATTTTGGAATCAATACAATTAGTCGAAGTTCAATAGATGAATAGACAGTGTCTCTAAGTCTGTTACTCATAAATAGATTTTTGTTTGGTTTCACGATAGAAGCTTCAGTTTTCCTTGCTTTATTTGAATGCAGCATATATATTGAGTGGAAATATAGAAAGGGGAAGAATCCTATTGATCTTGGGGTCAAAGGTCAATGTCACTGTTAACCAAAAAAACAAAATTCTGATTTGGTTTTCAGTATGGTATCCCACTATAATTGTTACACATGTATGAAGGTTAAAAATAAGCAATACAATTCATATAAAAATAAGAAGATGTGGTACGATTGCCAATGAGACAACTATTCACCAGAGATCAAATGACATAGAGGTTAACAACTATAGGTCACCGTACTGCCTTAAAAAATGATCAAAACCTATACCGCATAGTCAGCTATAAAAGGCCCAGAAATGACAAATGTAAAACAGTTCAAGCGAGAAAACTAACATGTTTATTTATCCCTCTAAGCATAATTGGATTTTGAACCCTTGATATAAAAATGTTTTTCTCAAAAGAAATGTTCAGGTTTAGGGCATGAGTTGGTAGTGCAGCCTTTTAACTTGTTTCTTATGTTTTCAGAAGAATCGTCTCAACCAGAATCAGTCCCATCTATGGAAAATAAAAATGAAGATGGTGGTGAGATTGTTGATGTGCAAAGGAAAGTGTCACACATTGGTACAAACAATTGAATATTTTGTATTTTTGCCTATGATCTTGAAACCTGTAAAAGAGAGAGAAAAAAAGGGAGGCAAGAGATTCCAAAGGAACATTCAAACTCATAAGTTGAAAATAAACTGACAACGCCATGGCAATGATAATTTATGGAATTGATAGACCAGTATCCTTAAACAAAAGATCAGCAATGTATTAAAGACCCATGACATTGTTATTTGATTGAACCCATAAGTCAACTTCTTTACATGAGTTCTAGTTTCAAATGATTATGTTGAAGGCTTAAAAAGATAGACAGAAACTGTAAACAGCATAAATGATTAACAGGATGTATAAAATAGGTCAAAATAAGACAGAAAATTGTCATTCAATGATGATCTATAATGAACTTTTGATCTTTTGAATATTATCTTAAAAAAATAAAGAGAGAATCTGTAAACAGCTAAATTGATGAAAAAGTTTTATAATGATTTTTTGTCTGCCTGCGAAGAAAGTCATAGGGATTGCTTTTACGGTGACAACAGCTTCAGCTCTGGCTTCAGCGTCAACAATTGTTAAGTTTTCTGCTTAAGTTCGTTTGATAGGAACTATTTGTGATAAATCATTGATATTTACTATGAAGTTGCACTACTATCAGTACATATCAGTTTGACGACTACATCAAGGCCTTGCGCCCTGAGTCATGGTCCAATGAAGTTGAATTAAGAAGTAAAATGTTAAAAGTTTTCAGCTTAAGTTAGATTGATAGGAACTACTTGTGATAGAGCATTGATATTAGTATGAAGTTTCGTTACTATCAGTATATATCAGTTTGAAGACTATTTTGAGGCCCTGCCCTCTATGTCATGGTCCAGTGACTGAATTAACTAGCAATTTTCAATGTTAAGTTCTCTGCTTAAGTTAGTTTGATGGGGACTACTTGCAATAAATAAATGATATTTAATATAAAGTTGCATTACTAACAGTACATATCAGTTTGATGACTATTTTGAGGCCCTGTCCCCTAGGTCATGGTGCAGTGACTTTGAATTAATAAGCAATGTTGCTGTCCATCAGATTGGCTTTTTCTGAATTTTATGCAGACAGGCGAGACATATCTCTGTGTCAACAGTTTATTTATATATCATTTATATAAAAGTGCATGGTTATACATATGGTACTGAAGAAAATATTTTGATATACCATAGGAGTGAGTGGTATACTGCAATCACCTTAAATGTCTGTCACTCCTGTTCCTCTGTCCTCTTTGGTGATTAGGTAGTAGTCTAGTACACAGCTAAAATTTAACAAATCAAATCAAAGTTTACCCTTTATGAAATGGAATTACAGCTGATGCAAATATCACTTTACTTTATAATAATTTAATAGTTTAGACTTTTTCAGATGATGTTGAACATTTGTCTACTGTTAAAGTTACAATGGGAAATACCAAGCCTTTACCAAATGAACAAGAAGGTAATCACTGAAGTAACAATATTTCAAAATTCCTTAATTCCTTGTCAAGCAAATAAATTATATATTAAGCAAATGTTAAGGTCAAAAATAAAGAAACCATGCATAAACAAGTTATTTTGTTAGCCTTATCAAGAAGGGTGTTGTGTCCTTGAGGCCCCATACAGAACTTTTGAAATTTCATTTAAAATGTCTTTGTGAAGTTAAGCAAAGTAAAGTAAAATTGCCCTTTTCTGATAATTTTTGCAGAGTTCCACAAAGTGCAAACCTTCTGAGATGTTGCGTGGGTGGACAAATAAAGTTGTAGCCTATTATGTGAAATTAACTGTGTTTTTCAACCCAGATCTGTCCATAAAAGTTTTACAAAGACCATTGCATCTGAAACTACTAGAACAAATCATCAATTGGGTATCTAGTTTTTATACGACCGCAAAAATTTTTGCGGTTGTATATTGGTATGACGTTGGCGTCGTCGTTGTTGTCGTTGTCGTCGTCGTCCGAAGACACATTGGTTTTCGCACTCTAACTTTAGTTTAAGTGAATGGATCTCTATGAAATTTTACCATAAGGTTCAATACCACAAAAGGAAGGTTGGGATTGATTTTGGGGGTTATGGTACCAACAGTTAAGGAATTAGGGGCCAAAAAGGGGCCAAAAATAAGCATTTTTGTAACTTCCAGACATAACTTGTGTGTTAGTGTATGGATCTCTCTGACATTGTACCACAAGGTTCCATATCACAAAGGGAATGCTGGGATTGATTTTGGGGGTAATTGCCTCAAAACATTAGGAATTAGGGGCCAAAAAAGGGGCAAAAAACAGGCATTTTTCTAGTTTCATGACAATAACTTGTGTGAAAGTGTATGGATCTTTCTGAAATTGTACTACAAGGTTCCATATCACAAAGGGGAAGCTGGAATTGAGTTTGGGGGTAATTGCCTGAAACATTTAGGAATAAGGGGCCAAAAATAAGCATTTTTCTAGTTTCCAGACAATAACTTGTGTTCAAGTGTATGGATCTCTCTGAAATTGTACCACAATGTACCATATCACACAGGGAATGCTGGGATTGATTTTGGGGGTAATTGCCTCAAAAATTTAGGAATTAGGGGCCAAAAAAGGGCAAAAAACAAGCATTTTTCTAGTTTCATGACAATAACTTGTGTGTTAGTGTTTGGATATTTCTGAAATTGTACTACAAGGTTCCATATCACAAAGGGAAAGCTGGAATTGAGTTTGGGGGTAATTGCCCGAAACGTTTAGGAATTGGGGGCCAAAAAGGGGCCAAAAAACACATTTTTCTAGTTTCCAGACAATAACTTGTGTTCAAGTATATGGATCTCTCTGAAATTGTACTGCAAGGTACCATACCACAAAGGGAAGGCTGGGATTGAGTTTGGGGGTGATGAATCATAAGGGGGTTCAAAAAATTTGGGGGGGGGGGGATTTTTTTTTTTTTTTTCCTTTTTTTTCTTTTTTTCCTTTTTTTTTCTTTTAAAATTTATCATTTTAAGTTGGTTTTTTCTGATTTAAATTTAAAAGCAAATAATAATGATATGGCAGGAGATACACACCAAACAGGATGTGTAAATTATTATATAATAAGTATTGTGCAATAGCAAGAAATTTTCAATTGCACAGCATTGCACAATAGCAAGAAATCTTCAATTGCACAGTATTGCGCAATAGCAAGAAATCTTCAATTGCACAGTATTGCGCAATAGCAAGAAATATCCAATAGCACAATATTGCGCAATAGCAAGAAATTGTCAATTGTGCAGTATTGCGCAATAGCAAGAAATATTTAATTGCACAGTATTGTGTAAAAGAAGATACTTCGTATAAATTGCTTATTTCTTGACCAATTTCAATGGGGTTTTATTCTTGAATTCTTGGGGTTCTTTAATATGCTGAATCTAACCGTGTATTAAGTTTTTGGATTTTGGGCCCCGTTTTTAAATTGGTCCACATTGAGGTCCAAAACATGTGTTTAGATTTTTGATTATGGGCCCAGTTTTGAAGTTGGTCCAAGTTGGGGTCCAAAATTAAACTTTTTTTGATTTCATCAAAAATTGAATTATTGGGGTTCTTTGATATGCCGAATCTTACCGTGTATTTAGATTTTAAATTTTTGGTTCCGTTTTCAAATTGGTCTACATTAAGGTCCAAAGGGTCCAAAATTAAACTAAGTTTGATTTTAACAAAAATTGAATTCTTAGGGTTCTTTGATATGCTGAATCTAAAAATGTATTTAGATTTTTGATTATGGGCCCAGTTTTCAAGTTGGTCCAAATCGGGGTCCAAAATTAAACTTTGTTTGATTTCAACAAAAATTGAATATATGGGGTTCTTTGATATGCTGAATTTAACCATGTATTTAGATTTTTGATTTTTGGGCCCCGTTATCAACTTTGTCCACATTGAGGTCAAAAGGGTCCAAAATTAAACTTTGTTTGATTTCATCAAAAATTGAATTCTTGGGGTTCTTTGATATGCTGAATCTAACCATGTATTTAGATTTTGGATATTGGACCATAATAGGTGAATGTCCAATTTAAAATTTTTAAGTTCTTAGACCACATTCATTCTGTGTCAGAAACCTATGCTGTGTCAAATATTTAATCACAATCCAAATTCAGAGCTGTATCAAGCTTGAATGTTGTGTCCATACTTGCCCCAACTGTTCAGGGTTCGACCTCTGCGGTCGTATCAAGCTGCGCCCTGCGGAGCATTTTATAAAAATATGTTTGAAGACCCCGCATGAGACAAACATGGCTAACATGGCTTAAAATAGATCTTGGGTAAAGAGCAATTTTTGTCTATTATCTTGAAAATTGCTATAGATAGAGAAAATCTAATAGATCTACCTTCTGTCTATTGAAATTTAAACTGTCAGACAACTTCTTATAGGACTTATTGCCCTTAAACATGTTAAACAACGAATTTAACCAATTTATTTTATTTCTGCCTTTTGTCTGAAAAATTATAATAGATAGACAGAAGCTTTGAAAATTATCAGCAAGACAAGAACTACAAATAAGGCAACATGACCAAAATCATCAGTCAACACCTTATTGATGTTATTGCCCTTTAGTGACAATTTTTCCTATTTTTTGTCTCGCCTGCCACGAAATATATGCATAAGGCAAATATCAATGTTGCTGTTATGATGACAACATCAGTGTTTTGTCGCTGGCATCAAAATTGGTAGGTAGTTAATTTGAAAGGCACTACTTGTGATAGATCAATGACATTTTCTATAAAGTTGCATTACTATCAGTACATATCAGTTTGACGACTATTTTGAGGCCCTGCCCCTTAGGTCATAGTCCAGTTACTCTGAATTAATTAGCAATTTTCAATGTTAAGTTTTCTGCTTATGTCAGTTTGATAGGATTTACTGGTGATAGATCCCTGCCCTAGGTCATGGTCCTGACACTTTCAATTAATAAGCAATTTTCAATGTTAAGTTTTCTGCTGAAAATAGTTTGGTAGGAACTACTTGTGGAAGATCAATGATATTTTCTATAAAGTTGCGTTACTATCAATGCATCTCAGTTTGTCTACCATTTCGAGGCCATGCCACCTAGATCATGGTCCAGCAACTTTAAATTGATTAAGCAATGTTGCTATCAATCAGATTGTCATTTTCTGTCTCTAGTTTAATGTTTTTTATGCCCTCTCCCCGCCACCCCCCCTAAGTAGCAGAGGGGGCATTAAGTTTAACCCTTGTCCGTCTGTACGTACGTCCCAAAATTGGTTTCCATTCTCTAACTTTAGTTTGCTTCAACCAAATGTTATGAAACTTATACACAATGCTCATTACCACAAAACACAGATCAAGTTTGAATTTTGGTGGCGTCACTTTGACCGTTCTAGAGTTATGCCCCTTTATAAATGGAAAAATTTCCAAATTTTTATTTTCTTCTAAATATCAAGTAATTATACGACCGCAAAAAATTTTGCGGTCGTATATTGGTATGACGTTGGCGTCGTCTGAAGACAAATTGGTTTTCGCACTCTAACTTTAGTTTAAGTGAATGGATCTCTATAAAATTTTACCATAAGGTTCATTACCACAAAAGGAAGGTTGGGATTGATTTTGGGGGTTATGGTACCAACAGTTAAGGAAAAAGGGGCCAAAAATAAGCATTTTTGTAACTTCCAGACATAACTTGTGTGTAAGTGTATGGATCTCTCTGACATTGTACCACAAGGTTCCATATCACAAAGGGAATGCTGGGATTGATTTTGGGGGTAATTGCCTCCAAATTTTTAGAATTAGGAGCCAAAAAAGGGGCCAAAAAACAAGCATTTTTCTAGTTTCCAGGCAATAACTTGTGTTCAAGTGTATGGATCTCTCTGAAATTGTACTGCAAGGTACCATACCACAAAGGGAAGGCTGGGATTGAGTTTGGGGGTGATGAATCATAAGGGGGTTCAAAAAATTTGGGGGGGGGGATTTTTTTTTCCTTTTTTTTCTTTAAAATTTTCCATTTTAAATTGGTTATTTCTGATTTATATATAAAAGCAAATAATAATGATATGGTTTGAATAGGTAAATTAAAAAAATTTTTAAGGTCTTAGACCACATTCATTCTGTGTCAGAAACCTATGCTGTGTCAAATATTTAATTACAATCCAGATTCAGTGCTGTATCAAGCTTGAATGTTGTGTCCATACTTGCCCCAACTGTTCAGGGTTCGACCTCTGCGGTCGTATCAAGCTGCGCCCAGCGGAGCATTTTATTTTTAAATTGGAGTTATTTTCCTTTGTCTAGTTGAATCAACTACAATCTATGCTTTATACAATGCAATGTTTAATTTTGACTTCCACTGATAAAACACAGATCAAGTTGAATTTGGGTAGTGTCACTTTAACCATTATTGAGTTATGCCCCATTATAAATCGAAAGATTGCAAAATTTTTAGTTTTCATTCTGTAACTTAAGTTTGCCCCGACCAAACATTATGAAACCTATACACAATATTCATTACCACAAAACTAAGATTAAGTACAAATTTTTTGTTTCCGTTTTCTAACTTTAGTTTGCCTCAACCAAATGTTACACAATGCTTATTACTACATAATACAGATTAAGTACGAAATTTGGTGGCGACACTTTTACCATTCTTGAGTTGTGTCCCTTTATAAACATAAAAATTGCTGAATTTTTCAATTTTTATAATTATGTTATTATTGATTACAAAATTCAGGTCAAGTTGGATATTGATGATTTTCACCCTATGTGCTGTTCAGGGTGTGGTCCTTGATTGATTGAAAAATCACATTTTCATGCAATTTCCATGGAATAACTTAAAAACCCTTCAATCCATGCTTTTCAAATTTTAACATGTTTCTGATGACGTTTGATATTGACAAATTTCACTTCTGTTCAGCAGGGCTTCCAAAATTATTTTTAGCCAGCCGGACATTTTATATATTATCCCGATTTTAATCCCTTAAGACTAAGTAAACAAAAGGCAATTATGGTAATCAGTTGCCCAGTTGGCCATCCCAATGATTGACATTAAAAAAAAAACGATATTAAACTTTCTTTGATTCAAATTCGAAGTTCTGACGTAAACTGTTAAATTGGCAGTGCATCATTCAAAGTGTGCAACATCAGCGTACTTATACCTGCCTTAGACTCTTTATTTGTGCAAAATAACGTTGTCAAAAACTTTACTTTCGTTTTTAAATCTAACCGGATGTTATCTTGACAATGGTAAAACATGGACCAGAGACGGATACGTAAATTCCGTGTACGTTTGCAAAGCATGCGTGAGTGGAGCAAGTAGCTCTTTCTACATGATTTCTTCAAGAAAATATTCAAAATAAACGTGAGATAAAGGTATCAATGACAATTTAATTTTTTTTTTTTAAGAAATTAGGATGCATAATTAAATTTCACACCTGCGCACACGTGTACTAGTTCAAACAGAGACATGTCTCTGGTTCAAACAACGTGGTTATGTCGATTTTTCATTTTCACCTTTTTAATTTTTTCATCAAATCATATTTGTAAACGTATTTCTGATAATTTAAATCTTTTTGACTAAATTAATTAGATGCAAACCGCTGAAATGTAAGAAAATAACTTTGAATAGACCGATCAATGTCCGGTTCAAAATAGTTTACCTGTCACCTGAACAGGTAAATTTCAGCTGTTCGACAACTAATTAGCCTTGATTAAAATGAGAAGGTATTAAAGTAGGGGTTGTTTTGATAGTACTTAATGATCATGTCACTTTTATGACCGGAAATGTGTGGCTGTTAAAGGCAAAAGGTTGGGTCAAAAAGATCGCGAATTATATTAAAATGACCGTCTCTTAAGAAAGCCTTGAAAACTAAAAAGTAGATGACCGTTTAATGCTTTTCCCAGCCGGACTTTTACCGGACGTTATAGAAATGTCCGGAATATATGACCGTTTTGGAAGCCCTGTTGTTCATGAGTTATGGCTCTAAATTGCTTTAACAATTACACTAATAAATAAA